AGGATTTTAGGGTTTAGGGGCCTTCAGGGTTAGAACGGGGTTCCTCGAAAGGGCTATGTCAGCAGGACTTATAATTAAACAGGAGCCTTAATGATTAGGTTTAGAATACGCTTTGGCGTATTATAGTATACTTGTGTCAAGGAACGCGGGAAGGGAAGATGTTGGTAATTGTTCAGGCTTTTGTATTACCGGGATGCAGCCCACTTCCCCTTAGTTAAGGATACCTCAAAATCTATGTGTTCAACATTTTGATTCAGTTTATACCTGAATAAAGGGGAACCAGGACTATCGAGCCAGCAAGAAGCAAAGAGGCCGTAACATAAAGTAATCATATTGGAAGCAGTCCACAAAGGTGGCCTCCGCAGACTCAGCGCCGTCTTGAAACGCTTCCGCAGCTTCCCGCGCCTGAGGCAAAGATGCAAGGACGGCTCTTTGCGGAAGGAAGCGATTCTATGCCCTACCTGTAGCCGAAAAGACCTACCTTTTCAGGGTTCCTTACTATGATTTCTATATACAGTTCCTTAAAATCCGGTCTTTTGGGCGACAGGTAAACCCAGCTGCGAGGCTTGAGGGATTTCGTTGCCGAATCCAAGGCTTTGGCTTTCGGCTTTGGAGGGCTTATGGTCTTACGCCATGTGGGTAGTTCTCTAAATTAGGCCTTGTCGGGGCTTTCGGGTCTCTGGGTTGTGGGGTGTCGGGGTCTGAGATCTGGGTTTTGATATAGGTTTATGTCGAGTTAGTGATGTAGAAACCCCCCAAACCACGAAGCGTAGTTCTGCCTTGCCAAGCTGCTTTGCATTGTTCATGGACCTACAAAACAAACATTGAAGAAGGAAATCCTCAAATTCAGTACTTACAAAGCCGTTATTTTTTGGGAATGGGCTGTCGAATCATACAAAGCCACCAGCCCCTAAGGCTGGTTCTGAACCCCAACAGCTGCCGAGCCCTAAACCCAACGTACCCCTGTATCAACCCTAATGTAGAAGCCCGAACCTTAAGACCCTAAATGCGCAACCACTCTGGTTTAACACATATCAACCCTAAGCCCTAAAACCTATAAACCCTAAACTCTAGCCCCAAACTCGAAACCATAGAAATCACAAGCCCTAAAACCTCAAAAATCCAGATAAACCCTGCCCCACTTTCGACCCCGCAGTTATGGGCTAGAACCCGTAATACGACAGTTTTATCGGCCCCGCAGGTAAGCCCTTCCTCTGCGGCAGCTTCTGCAGCGGCTGCGGCCACCTCAGCGGCAGCAGCCGCCGCTTCGCTGCTCTCTTCCTGCAGCTCTGAAATGAGTGCAGTCTCGGGGTTTAGGGTTTAGGG